CGTGATTACGTCAGACGAGGCTACGCAACGCGTGATTACGTCAAACGAGGCTACGCAACACGTGATTACGTCAGACGAGGCTAGGCAACGCGTGATTACGTCAGACGAGGCTACGCAACGCGTGATGACATCAGACGAGGCTACGTAATGTGTGATTACGTCAAACGAGGCTACGCAACGCGTGATTACGTCAGACGAGGCTAGGCAACACGTGATTACGTCAGACGAGGCTAGGCAACGCGTGATTACGTCAGACGAGGCTACGCAACGCGCGATTACGTNGTGATTACGTCAGACGAGGCTACGCATCACGTGATTATGTCAGACGAGGCTACGCATCGTGTGATTGCGTCAGACGAGGCTATGCAACGCGTGATTACGTCAGACGAGGCTACGCAACACGTGATTACGTCAGACGAGGCTACGCAAGGCGTGATTACGTCAGACGAGGCTACGTATCACGTGATTACGTCAGACGAGGCTGTGCAACGCGTGATTACGTCAGACGAGGCTACGCAACGCGTGATTACGTCAGACGAGGCTACGCAACGCGTGATTACGTCACACAAGGCTACGCATCGTGTGATTACGTCAGACGTCGACGACAAGCTTTGTGGTAATAAACAGGAAGTGAAACTTGCTAACTAGCAGAAGCTAATCATCTCGGGACAATGGAGCGATTTAACGGCTTAACGGCTAGTTTAACGTTTCTTTCGCGAATTAAAGTGAGAAATGTTCTCGTCTCTGTCAATCCACACGTACCTGTTGTTGTTGTTGTTCGCAGCCATGTTTTCGCGCATTTATGCTAACATCTAGGACGAGGTAGGAAAGTGAAAACAGCTGAATGTCACGTGAGGTAAATATGCGCTACGTCAGAATTTATTCGGCAAAGGTGTTTCCATCTCCCGTTTTGCGCATTAACTACTTTGCGAATCATCCAAAAACCACCTCAAGCGAGCGTAAAAACTTTTTAGTGAATTGAGGATTTATTTTATCGCATTTTGCTGTTTCCATCCGACTTTTTTTCGCATTTTTAATGCGACACTTCTAAATGTGTATCAAAAAAGCCTTGATGGAAACACAGTTAATGTGTGTTGGTAAGGTCTGCTCTCACTCCACTGCAGAATCACTGTTTTCAGGTAGATGGGAAGTCCAAAAATGCGGGCTGGATTATAAACCGACATGTCTTTATGTGTAACACCAAGGGCTGTGGTGAAAACGTGGACTGGATTTATATCAACACGTGTGTTTTTCTAATAGTGGAACAGAACTGAGCTATCAGCGTTTGTCAGATCTCGACATGAGAAATTGTGAGGGCGTGTGACGACCCTCAGAGGCTTCAGTCTCACACTCAGTGCATGAAAGTTGGCAGCCTTGAGATTCATTTGTAAATTCATTACAAAAACTTAAAATAACTTTAAATTCTTCAATAAAAAATTCAGGTTTTTTGTAAAGGAAAACAACTTAAACTTGCTAAATTATGCATGTCCTTGTGATTCTTCTCACCTCAAACTCCAGGTACTCCTTCCGGAGTTTCTGCTCCTCCATCTCACGACTTTTCATCTTTCGGTCGGGTGTGGACGCTATGAGTTCAACTAGTTCAGAGGAAACTGCCCTAAACCGGTTCTCATGAGATTTGAGCTGCTCTTCCTGTAAGTACAAAAAGAGAAATCCATATTACCGTATATCATATTGTTGATTTTTTTTGTCTCTCGACTGTTCGTACCTGTGACAGTTTGGTGTTGGATCCTGGCAGCAGAGGACGGCTAAAACGTTTCTGCGACCCAACTGCAGCTGGGAACGGAGGAGCAGAAAACATGGCCGTCACCATGTTGATGCGTGTGATCCACGATTGCATCTGTTCTGGATTTCTGCCACAAAACATGATAAAAACAGGAAAATTATTGATAAAAGTAAAAATAAAATAAAAGCATCAACATGTTTTCCATCCTTATGTATGTAGGGCCAAAATGGTGATCATTCCCACATTTTCATGGCTTGTTTTAGGTCGCTAGACCCCAAAATTTAACCCTCTTGTCCTCAAAAGTTGGTCCTCCTTTTCTATCTGATTAAAGAGTTGCAAAGGAAGAAACAAAAAGACCAATTATCTTACGGTGCCTGGAAGAGGAAGACCCTCCAGTCAGCGGTTCGCAGGTAGAAAACATTGGGCCTCTTGCTGTAATCAGCTGCTCTCATGGCCAGAGAATGATGGATGGACACGGCGTTCTTCACATCCTCCTCTGACAGCTCTTGTTCTGAACGGTACTCATCCTGGTGAACACAAACACACTGTTACCTAATAATAATGAAAAATATAGATTTATAATGCACTTTATATCTGCAAAACACATCCCAAAGTGTGACAGTAATAAGGATAAGAACAGTAATAAAAACAAACAGTAAATGATAGAAAAAAAAAGAAAAACTCCCCAGAAACCTCAGAAAACTTTATCTTCTATTCAACACAATACACAACAGTACAAAGTCAGCCTGAGGTTTATTATTATATTTTATTTGAAAATAGTACGGGGTAGGAGTTTATAAGTTTTTTACTTCTTCCTACTCCATTTCGAACATGTTGAGATTATTATTGTCATAAAATATGTTATATTTTGTATTTAATATGTGTAATATGTTTAAGTATGGTCATCATGTTTGAAATTAATTTGATTGATTGATTGATTGAATATAACATAAATTGATAATTCTTACTGAGTGTTTGTTGCTGTGACAACCTAACAGGTCACATGTCCCAGTTTTACTACATCACATTACAACAGTGGCTCCCAGGTTAGAAATTAACAGGTTTTCCAATAACATGAGATTTATTGCCCAGAAGCATGGTTACAACAAAGAAATAATCTACCAAACACTCATTTTCTTACTTTTTGTGCTAAGTATGTATTAAAATTTATTGAAAGATGCAAACTAAAGTAAGTTTGTTGATTTTAGTAAAGTCCAGTTAAAAAAGGTCTGAGTTGAAATAAGCTGAAAAACATTTATTTTGTTTTAATCTAAAGACACTGCACCTGTTTTTGTTGTTAGCTACCAATAAACTTTTTTGCTGCTCATGGGAGCGATTGCTTCAACAGGTTGTAATCTGCAGTTTCACAACTAGATGTCAGAATATGTCAATTACTGACAAAAGATGGTGAAAACTCAGCTATAATCCAAAGAAAGACTCTTACAGACGTTCAGAAAACCAGGAGAACTACTGATCAAAATCACCTCCAAACATTACAGGAACGTTATGCTGCTTAGAAATAAAACCTAAAGAATCGAGGACTGGACCTGGAGTCAAGATCTGCTCTCTATGCTCAACCAGAAACTGTCAATGCAAAGTACCTGATAAATGTTAATGTATTTAAATGAGTCAGCTGATCAGTGTCGACAAAAGTGATTGGTTCCGTCGTGCGTCTGGAGGAGGACAGGTGCTGACAGCTGCTCACGTGAACAAATTCTCAAATTTTATCACAGATTTTCCCTCATTTTGCAGGTTTACAGACTAGAGCAAATTTTCCACAATTTTTTTCAAAAACTCAGCTTCATATTAATTTTCTCTCAGAGCCTGCAGGACGATAAAAACAATAAATAAAATGAAATAAGTCAGATAAAGTTAGAAATAAGTTCACTGCTCCTCTCCCACTCCTGTCTGCTCAGTTATCTGCAGCTGATGGTCTCCTCAGCCCCCCACCTC